AATGTATTGCCCTTTTTTTTCATTTAGTTTAAGAGAATAAATGACTAACCCTAATATAAATTTTGGGGTTGTGTCCTTGTTTTTGTTCTTATGCACTAACCGGGCGTGAGTTATTTTGTAATCAATAAAATAAAATGTAGCTTACCTCTCTGCATTTGCTTTGTGTTATACGGCCACATTTGAATAAGACTAATACATTTCTGATTATATTATATTGCATGTACTGGAATTACTTTTATAAATGCATCAACTAGTACTTTTTTTTTTATAGAAGCGATATTTTATTTTAATTTAATTTAAACTACGAGAATAAAAATTTGAACTCGAGTGCAGAATAGAGCCGTGTTCTAACCAACTTGGCTAAGCCCTAATACTTTTGTATTTACTTTTATGCTTCAAACTTCCAAATGACTTCAATACCAGATGGGCTGAGATATAGAGTTGGTCAGGGTGTGTGCTAAAAGTGCAGAAGAAATTGAAAAAGCCTAGCCAGCCCACAACTGTGTTATTCCCCTAATTTCTGTAGTTTCAGCCCAAACGACCATTTTACAGTTGTGTTTAGGGAGGTAGGGTTTAAATTGGTGATTGCAATACATTTCCATTAATGCTTTAAGATTCAAATTATGATGCGGCAAGTGATTTGTACATGTCATGTCAACTTAGGTTTTTATCTCCGCAAGTATGGATTACATTACTTTTCGAAAGTTTATCGAGTTTCAGCTTTTACTAACTAAAGTTTATTTTCGTTTCAACTTTGTACCCATATCCTGTGAGATGAGATCCATAATACCATGGGATCTATTTGGGATCCATTGGAGAAAAAAAAAACAGAGAGAGGAAAAACTCGGGAAACAAATTGGGTTCTATATTTATGTGGCATCTTCTAAACATATAAAACAAAAGACGTAGAAAAGTATTGGTTACACAGGCTGTAAAGAAAAAATAAAGCACACAAGGGTCCCCCCCACCTACCTAGAACTCAGAAAAGGCCATAGAATTCCAAGAATCAATGCCCATTTTACCTCATAGGCCTTCTGATATTGGTCCTAGATTTCTCAAAACTGTTGTGGAATATTAGACAGGCTCCGGTAAAGATGGTGAAAATGCTCGACTTTTAACATTTTTTACTTTAAACACCAGGTAACTTTTCTCTACCATTATGCAGCTTTACACCATCTAATAAAACTATTTTTTTGTAGAGTGTTTAAATGTTTAAAAGTTAAGAGTATTTGCCCATGTATCCAAAGTCCGATTTCCCATTTCCAGTATCGCTTGTATGAAAGAAAAAACAAAAGAGTGGAAATGTTTCAGGATCATTTGCAGCATTCAACTCATAATATTTGTTCTTTAAGCAGAGCAATTCAAAGGAAAGGAGATTTAAAAATAATAATAATAATAAAAGATTAAGAGAAACCCATAATTGCAGGAGCAATCTTTGTCTATACCCATTACTTGAATTTTCTATTGGAGTAAAATAGAATCAAAGTTAAATTAAACCAACTGTCCCTGTTTTTCCCTAATCATTTGTGTCACTGTCCAAACACGCCATAGACCACATGCATTTATATTGGTTATGCTATATAAAATATGCAGATGTAGGTAGTTGCATAAATTATTAAATCGCTGTCACCAAATTCCAGATGACCATATAATAAATACTGGAACAGATCTACGTCCATAAAATCACACCAAACCAGAGAGATGTTGAAATTTAATAAGACCACATTCTGTGGTTAGCCATCCAAAGTGAAGTTAGGTAGCCTATACTTTGTTGGGAAAAAAGTACTACTTTAGTTGGCAATGGCAAAAGCATACTCATTATGCATCATTCCCTATTGGAATGAAAAAAAATATATGCAAAACATTCAAGTTTGGCAATTACCATTGATGGTTCATAATCATCTCTTGTCAAATTGTCAACAATTTCACCAAACTTTCAATTTGAACCACACACTCAACTCTACACATGATACCGTAACTAACATCCTCACCCCTAACATGTCAATTAGTTTGGCAAAAACAGAATATTATCTATACCAAAAGATCCATGTGTAAAAAAAGATGTAACCCATCAAGCTATCACAAGAGAGGCACCAAAAGTAAAAGCTCAACCTGATGAACTTAAACGAAAAGACGAGTTGAAAGAAAAATACTACAGATGCAATTAAGCACATAATGGTTCAGCATTCCAATCACAGCCTACAAAATTACAAATGAACATGAACTAGTCGCCTTAAATTAAAGTTTTAAACAGAAATCCTATTGATGGCATAATGAACTGACAATTTTCAAAAACTACCACCTTCAAGACAAGGTCATACATACATCATACCAGAACATGTTCTCCATGTTCTTCATTGCTGCTGAGCATTCAAAACAAAACGGCTCAATGAGGTGCTGCATCTTCTTCATTAACTTAACACGAAATGGCGGAAAATAGAATGTTGTGCCACTCAAAGGCAACTGAAGATAAAAGTCTTCCTCACAACATGCAGTCAGTTCTAGCCGGCAACCTCCTGAAGAAATTCAGCGGCACAGAAGGAAGCTTATGACGGAATCTTGGGTGCCTCAACACATAGAATCCAGCGAGAAGAGCCACAACCTGGAATGGTGTAACATACAAAACAATGGCAGCAATCAGACAGAAAAGCACAAACAGTGATGTTGCTCTCGGGTCTCTCCAACTCAGCAAAGATTGCAGCCTCTCCCCTTGAGTAGCCAAGTCACCAACCACTGTCTGGATTCTCCCAGCAATACTCCTCAACCTATCATATCTCATCCTTACTATGTCAGAAGGCCGTGAAGTAGGGAATGTATCAAATTCTTCATCTAGTTCATCAGGATGTGCAGAATCTGCGTGAGACAGACGAGTGTCCATGTGAGGAGGATGCCTTGGTCTCCATCTATAATACCAAACTCCAATCAAGAAGAGGTAGAGGAAAATTGTAGGTAATATGAGCTCTGGGTACATGACCAGAATTATAAACAAGATGTGGATGAGTACAGTTGTGATGGGGTTTTTCCAAGTACAGATCTGATCAAACCATTTTCCAACAGCAATTACCCCACCCAAAACATTCATAATCCTGAAAAAGTTAGCTTTGCTTCTTCGCATACTCCACATGTGAGAGCCCACATCCAGCATATACTCTACCACTTCTTTCCTCAGTGGTGGTTCAGCACGGCTCAGCCTCATTGATACAATCTGAGTGGCCTGGTGCCTCAAGCTATCGAGCTGGCTTACAGTTAATGGATGAATATAGTGCATTTTTGGCAACAGTGGCTGGGAGTACATGTGCATCATGTTAAGCAAAGAAGAGCAAGTGAACCTCACAGCCATATGAATTTCACCCATCTTCTTTACACCATTTGGGTGCAGAACTAAAAGTGGGTACGAGTGTGTGTACACCCGATCAGTTTCAAGGGTGGAGAGACGAATCCTTACCTTCCCAATTCTTGCATCCCTGGCCCCTCCAGCCTTATCTCCCCCGTGCAAATGACAGTTATCAAATACCCCAATAGTTATGACAGTACAAGGATCAAAAACTTCCCATGTATATTGCTCATTCCACCTGGGAGTAAAGCTATCAATAATGGTTCTTGTTCGAACCCACTTCTGCCCATATTTCGCCACACAATAAGCATCTGTTGTACCCCTCCCATCTTTCGTCTTCATTGGCATCAACCCCTGAGCATTCAGAATTCCCACTTCAAGAACCCCAATGCTGGACTTCCACAGCGGTTTTGCTGTTGGTCGAAGATCACTACTATAGTGTGTTGATTCATCAAGAACATGGTAACCACCTTCCAGACAGATCCTCATATGAATTCTGCTTGCAAACTTAATTTCCTTCTTCTTTTCCCCTTCTACAATAACATGTTTCTCAAGATTGTGCCAACTAGTATTCACAGGTTTATGATCATACCTTCGGGTCACATATGGCAGGGGAATTGCACACCTTCCTAGAACTTCATCTTTATTAGGCGCTACTCTGTCCTCCACACTCAAAATCAGGGGCTCCTCAAATGGTTCTGATGCTACGAACATTAAATCTTCATTCCACATGGGATTTATACTCCTGCTTGGAGAAATCCTAGTTCTCAAAGCCTGATTTCCCAGGATAGCCTTCACAAAAACTTCAGGATACCTACCTTTATCACTCGGTTGCAAATCCTGAGCTTCAATCACATTAACCCTCAAATACCAAAGCTTAGGAGAGAGATACACCTTTGACCGAATATTTGAAAGACTGTCAGCTCCACTAACTGTAGCAGCATCTGAATGCCATGCTTCAGGAAAAGCTTCATCTGCTTGGGTGCCCATCCAAACAGCCAACATTAGCTCTCCCCTAACCTTGTCCCCCTTCCTATCCTCCAATCTATACCATTGTGGTGCTAGAGGACTATCAGGAGGTACCCGTTTTGGAATCTCATTCAGGTCAAAAGAAACACGACCCATGAAATCATCCTTCACAACATCCTTGTCCTTCACAATGACCTCAAGAACCGACGCCTGAATCCGATCTTTCGAGAATGCAAAAACCTGGTTCCACTCCGGATTCGATTTCTTCTCGAAATGTCGGGTTGCACCCTTATAATTTCCAAGCCTAACTTCAACATAAGGGTCACAACTACCAGTAACATCTTTCGCGGGCAAGTCCTTTGCCTTGACAACCCGGACATAGAGATACTGCATCTGCTCAACGAGGTCATAGGTGCTCGTGAGCTTATCACCAGAGATCCTCCCCCCACCGAGGTGGGGTTTGGTCTCCTTCAAAGCAAAGTCTTCTGGGGGTGGTCTCTGCATCTTGTGGGTTCAGAAACAGAGAGACCCAAATGGCAAAGATTGAAGTTGAACGGTTGGATAGAATAAGATTAACTGTTTTTGAATTAATTCAAAAGTTCCAGGAACCTAAAACATCGGAAAAAATAGTTTAGTAGCTTTCGAGAACGCAAAAACCTGGTTCCACTCAGGATTCGATTTCTTCTCGAAATGTCGGGTTGCACCCTTGTAATTTCCAAGCCTAACTTCAACATAAGGGTCACAACTACCAGTAACATCTTTCGCGGGCAAGTCCTTTGCCTTGACAACCCGGACATAGAGATACTGCATCTGCTCAACGAGGTCATAGGTGCTCGTGAGCTTATCACCAGAGATCCTCCCCCCACCGAGGTGGGGTTTGGTCTCCTTCAAAGCAAAGTCTTCTGGGGGTGGTCTCTGCATCTTGTGGGTTCAGAAACAGAGAGACCCAAATGGCAAAGATTGAAGTTGAACGGTTGGATAGAATAAGATTAACTGTTTTTGAATTAATTCAAAAGTTCCAGGAACCTAAAACATCGGAAAAAATAGTTTAGTAGCCGTTAGTTATAAGGAAAACCAAAAGCCAAGCCACCTAAATCTCGGAATATTCATTAAAAAAACCCCACTATCTAAACTAAATTAATAACACGAAACAGGGTGTTATTGTTAACTACAAATTACCATATCCATAACTCAAAACGAAAAGCCATCTGAAACTAACAGTACAAAACATTTCATAAACAACACTAAATCAGAAAGAATAACTTAGATCTTTAAACATTGGATGCATACATAACAGAATATCAAAGTTCCAAGTTTTAAGCGTAACCTTCGTAGCGGCGGAGAAACCCAAGCTTCAGATCTGAAACAAAAAACAACCCAAAGTTACAAAACACGAATAGCAGAGTGCGAGACTCGATGTGTTTTTATATATTGTGTTTGGCTACCGAGAAAAATGACGAAAAGCAGGAAAAATTGAACATGCTTCGATACTAATAATTTTCCTTTTCTGCGACCACCGAAAGCAAACATATCTATGACTAAATCCAAAACATTACTTTCCTATTCGGAACTTAAAATTTTCAGTCTCCAAAATTTTTTCTTTTATTTTCATCAGCTTTCCCAGAAAAAAAACACAAACTGAGGGCAAGAAAATGAAAAAACAGAAAAATAAACAAAAGTGTGAAGACAACATAAAGCATCAGAAAGAACCCTAACAATGTCGGCGCAGGGGAATGCTAAGCGGTTCAGAGAGAGAGTTTACCTCTTGAGAAGGAAGAAGACTCAGCAGGGCTTCAAAGAAAAAACCCAAAACCCAAAAAAGCTCATCATTTTAAACAAACGAAAAAGAAGAGGAAAATAAATGAAAACGCTCCTCCTCAGATTGAAGCGGTGGAAATGGGTATCATTGGGTTTGGTGAGGCTGGAAAATCAAAAAGATAAGGACGAACTAAGAAGAAGCAATGTTTTGCATTCTAGAGAGAGAGACTGTAGAGAGGTAGAGAGGTAGAGAGAGAAAAGTTGAGCGCTTTTGCTTTTGGGTGGGATCTGTTGAATATGTGAGAGATATACAGAGAGAGACTAGTCAGTCTTTTTTTCCTTTTCTTTTTTTTTTTTTTT